TCACTCCCCAACAAACCCTGTTGTGTTGTTATCCCCACAGTTACACCCCCCAAATAAACCCGCCCCCCCCCCCCCCCCCCCAACACCATGGGGGGAAAACAAAAAATAAAAAAAAAAAAAAAGTTAATTATTTTTAATAGGAGTATGTTTGTAGGACGGTTGGAAAGGGTTAAATTAAATTATATATTTAAGTTTGTTGGGGAGAATGTATGGTATAATTATTATGAAGAGGTGATAGGGTATTAGCGCGAAAACAAACCTGGTTTATGACATGTTAAAATGGAGGAATGAGTGTACGAACGTAAGTCATACCCGGAATACCTCCAGTAACTCCAGTATTACCATCTAAACCACAATTAATACACAATGACACCTGTACTGTGTTCGTTTCTACCCATCACAACCCAACCATTACTAAACTCATATCGTCCTGGTCAGTTGTCGTTCTACCATCACAACCAACCTTTACTAAACTCAGTAACCGTTCCTGGGCCGGGATGTTCGTTCTATAACTAAACTACCATCACAACCACCATTAATAAACTCAAGTAGTCGTCCCTGGTCAGTGTTGTCGTTTCTACCATCACAGCCACCATTACAAACGCAGTAGTCCGTCCTGGTCAGTGTGTCGTTCTACCTTCACAGCCACCAATACTAAACTCAGTAGTCGTCCTGGTCAGTGTGTCGTTCTACCATCACAAAACCACCATTACTAAACCATAGTTCGTCCTGGTACAGTGGTGTCGTTCTAACATCACAGCCACCATTAATAAACCTCAGTAGGTCCCCTTGTTCCTGTTTTCTTTCTCTGAAATTCGATTCCTGCCCACCTTGTCAATGCCTCTCAGTATTTTATTCGTTGTTATCATGTCCCCTCTATCCCTCCTATCCTCTAGTGTCATCAGGCTGAGTTCCCTTAATCTATCCTCATAAGACATATCCCTCAGTTCCGGGACTAATCGTGTTGCAAATTTTTGCACTTTCTCCAATTTCGTGACGTGTTTGACTAGGTAAGGGTTCCATGCTAGCAATGCATACTCCAGTATAGGCCTTACGTACACGGTGTACAGTGTCGTGAATGACTCCTTACTCAGATGTCTCAACGTTAATCTCAGGTTTGCCAATCTTTCATATGCTGCAGCAATTATTTGATTGATGTGTGCTTCAGGGGACATGTTCGTTATAATGCTTACCCCATGATCCTTTTCTTTAATTGGCGTTTGCAGCTTTTGATTTCCTAACCTGTACGCCGCCTGCAGTCTACTGTGTCCTTCCCCAATCTTCACGACCTTACACTTACTGGGGTTAAACTCCAGGAGACATTTGTCAACCATACTTGTAGTCTGTCCAGATCCCCTTGTAATATTAACTGGTCCTCGCCACTTGTATTCTCCTCATAAGTTTCACATTATCAGCGAACAGTGACATTTCTGAATCTATTCCTTCCACCATGTCATTCACGTATACAAGAAACAGCACCGGGCCTAGGACTGAACCTTGTGAAATCTCACTCGACACATGCGCCCACTCCGACACTTCAGCACGTACCAACACTCGCTGTTTCCTTCCTGTCAGGTATTCCCTGATCCATTGCAGTACTTTCCCTGTTATTCCTGCCTGCTCCTCTAATTTTTGCACCAGTCTCTTGTGTGGCACTGTGTCAAAAGACTCTTGCAATCTAAAAAGATGCAATCTATCCATCCCTCTCTCTCCTGTCTTACTTCTGTTACCTTATTGTAGAACTCAAGTAGATTTGGGACACAGGATTTCCCATCTCTGAAGCCGTGCTGATTGTCATGTATGAGCTCAATTTTTTCAATATTTTCCACCACTCTTCTCCTGATAATCTTTTCCATGACTTTACATACTATACAAGTCAGTGACACTGGTCTGTAGTTTAACGCTGCCTGTCTGTCTCCTTTCTTAAAAATTGGAACTATACGTGCTGTCTTCCACGCTTCAGGCAACTGCCCAGTTTCGATAGATTTAATGAAGATTGCCGCTAGCGGCACACACAGTTCCTCTGCTCCCTCTCTCAGTATCCATGGAGATATGTTATCTGGGCCCACCGCCTTTGAGGTATCTAGTTCGTCTAGCAGTTTCTTCAGCTCTATCTTGGTTATGTGTATTGTGTCCAGCACCTTCTGGTGCACCCTACCTCCACAGTTTGCTGGAAGCATTCCTGACTCTATTGTGAATACTTTTGTAAATCTTGTATTTAGTTCATCACATACTTCTTGGTCACTCTTCGTCAGCTCCCCTCCTTCTTTCCTCAGCCTGATTACCTGGTTCTTGACTGTTGTTTTTCTCCTAATGTGACTGTATAACAACTTTGGTTCAAATTTGGCTTTTGATGCTATGTCGTTCTCGTATTGCCTCTGGGCCTCTCTCCTTATCCTTGCATATTCGTTTCTGGTTCTTCTGCTCAGCTCCTTGTTTTCTTGAGTCCTTTGCCTTTTATACTTTTTCCATGCTCTAGCACACTTGGCTTTGGCCTCTTTACACCTCCAGTTAAACCATGGGCTCACTTTGGTCTTACCATTTTTTCTGTTGCCCTTTGGTATGAACCTTTCCTCTGCCTCCCTGCACTTAGTGGTCACTATTTCCATCATTTCATTTACTGTCTTTCCATCTAGTTCTCTGCACTTCATGCAGGAAACTTCTCATTCCTATGTAGTCCCCTTTTTTGAAGTTCGGTTTCTCTCCTTGTTCTCATGCTGCTGCATTCTCCACTGTTAACTCTTCAAGATATTCACAACTCAGAACATCATGATCACTAGTTCCAAGGGTTTTTTCGTGGGTGATATTCCCTATGTCTGAACCATTCAAGGTGAATATGAGATCCAGCCTTGCTGCAACATCCTCTCCTCTTTCTCTGGTTGTATCCCTAACATGTTTGTGCATGAAGTTCTCCAATACAGTCTCCATCTTAGTCCTCCATGTTTCTGGTCCTCCATGTGGCTCTAGGTTTTCCCAATCAATCTTTTTATGATTGAAATCCCCCATTATAAGCAATTTTGTCCTACCCATATGAACCCTCCTGGCCACTTCAGCTAGTGTATCCACCATTGCTCTATTGCGACATCATAACTCTTCTCTTGTCCTCCTGCTGTTAAATGGTGGGTTATACATCACTGCTATCATCACCTTTGGGCCACCAATTTGAAGTGTTCCTACAATGAAGTCGTCTGTTTCCCTTCTTTCTATTCCTCTCATCTCCTCAAAACTCCACTGAGTTTTGATGAGCAATGCTACTTCTCCCCCTCTTCTGTTCTCTCTGTCTTTCCTCATAATCTGATATGCAGGTGGAAAGAGTGCATCTGTTATCATCCCTGTAAGTTTGTCTTTGTTAGTGCTATGATGTCAGGTGATGCATCAATGAGGCGTTCTTGCCACTCTTCACTCATATTTGTTATTTCATCTGCATTGGTGTACCATACCTTTAGCTTCCTGTCCCTTATTGTATTTTGGGAGATGGAAGAGGAAGGTGCAGGCTGGGAGGGTGGGAGGCAGGGCAGAATATTATGGGAGGCTGCTGTGATCGTGGAATTAGGGCTTAGGGGGGTGGTGGCTATGGAGTGAGATTTGTTTCTGTTTACTGTGTTTGGTTGATATGTGGTGACAGGGGTTGAGAGGTTTCTGTAAGCATTTGTGTTTAACGTTTCCCCAAAGGCTGAGCTTTCCTGTCTGTTGTTGCCTGTCCTGTCTCTCTTTCCTTCCACTGGTTTTGTCTTGCTCTCACTTTCAGTTCCCTTTCCTTTCTTGTTCTGTCTCGATTGAGGTACACTTTTTGATAATCGGGAAAGTCCTTTAACAGTGGTTTTTGTTGTAGTATCCCGTTCAGTACCACATCTGTCTTGAATTTCAATTTGATTAGTCGAATTTTTTTTCCTCGGATACCCCCCAAGTCTGTGAAAATTTTCTACCTGAGACATGTCCCTCTCTCCTGCGATTGCAATGATGTTCTTAATCTCTGTTTTCTCCCAATGCTTTCTTTCATCATAGGTCTGCCCTTCAGCCTCCTGAAGCCCATGAATAATTACTGATCTCTCCCTCTCTTCTTCCCATTTCTTTTCCCTCCGTATCCCTGGATCTGGTTTAAACATCTCCTTTTCTGCTTCACTTATCATCTCCCAGACACCATGATGGCCTGATATTACTTCTGCAAAAGACTGCTTAGCTCCTTCAGTCCCCTCGCTGCCTGCTGATGTTCCCATTTTGGTCATCTTGCTCCTTTCGGACCTCATCTTTATATCCTGCTTCAGCACATCCATTTCTTCCTCCAGTCTCTGTATCTTTGCCTCAGTTACTACAGCTCATGATTCCCACTTCTTGCTCTATGCAGATATTTGCTCTAACATGTTATTGCAAAGCTCGTTTAACCTTTTCTCCCATTGTTGTTCCATTTTGTTCTTGAGCCGTTCTACCCATTCTTCCTTTTCCGACCAGCTATCATCGGTTCCCTTGCCTTTACGTCCTCCCTTTTGAGAGCCCATTTTGTTTTTATCCTGTTGGGATGTTCTAGCTGCTACAGCTTATCGTAAAAATGTGTGTGTGTGGAGGGAGGATTTATGAGCTAATGTGTTAGGTTAGGTTTGTTTGTGTATGTGTGTGTGTGTGTGTGTGTGTGTGTGTGTGTGTGTGTGTGTGTGTGTGTGTACTCACCTATTTGTAATTGCAGGGGTCGAATCATAGCTCCTGGCCCCGCCTCTTCACTGATTGCTACTTGTCCTCTCTCACCCTGCTCCATGAGCTTTATCAAACCTCGTCTTAAAACTATGTATGGTTCCCGCCTTCATTATGTCACTTTCTTGGCTATTCCACGGCCTGACAACTCTATGACTGAAGAAATACTTCCTAACATCCCTTTGACTCATCTGAGTCTTCAACTTCCAATTGTGACCTCTTGTTTCTGTGTCCCATCTTTGGAACATCCTGTCTTTGTCTTTGTGTGTGTGTGTGTTACCATTACTGCTAACGCCTGTGTGATGCAGATGTGTGCGCTTGATGGAAAACTGCTGATGTGGTTGAGACGACGACAAGTTCCGGTGATAATATCTGCTGTTCTCGTCCTGGTCTGTGTGTCGCTGTACCATCAAAACCACCACTATTATAGTAAGTAGTCGTCCTGGTCTGTGTGTCGCTGTACCATCAAAACCACCACTATTATAGTAAGTAGTCGTCCTGGTCTGTGTGTCGCTGTACCATCAAAACCACCACTATTATAGTAAGTAGTCGTCCTGGTCTGTGTGTCGCTGTACCATCAAAACCACCATTATTATACTAAGTAGTCGTCCTGATCTGTGTGTCACTCTACCATCAAAACCAGAGTTAGTACAGAAAGTTGTCGTCCTGGTCAGTGTGTCGCTGTACCATCAAAACCAGCGTTAGTACAGAAAGTTGTCGTCCTGGTCAGTGTGTCGCTGTACCATCAAAACTACCATTACTATAGTAAGTTGTCGACCTGGTCAGTGTGTCATTCTACCGGATCAGCCGGGCTGTGGTTCGCACGTTGGACAGCGTGCGGCGAACAGTAACAGCCTGGTTAATCAGGCCCTGATCCACTGGGAGGCCTGGTCGTGGACCGGGCCGCGGAGGCGTTGATCCCCGGAATACCCTCCAGGTAGACTCCAGGTAGTACCATCAAAACCACAATTAATACAGTAAATTATCATCCTGGTCAGTGTGTCGTTCTACCATCACAACCACCATTACTAAACTCAGTAGTCGTCCTGGTCAGTGTGTCGTTCTACCATCACAACCACCATTACTAAACTCAGTAGTCGTCCTGGTCAGTGTGTCGTTCTACCATCACAACCACCATTACTAAACTCAGTAGTCGTCCTGGTCAGTGTGTCGTTCTACCATCACAACCACCATTACTAAACTCAGTAGTCGTCCTGGTCAGTGTGTCGTTCTACCATCACAACCACCATTACTGTAGTAATGTAAATTATTTCCGCAGTTCCCTGTTTCTTAAAGCTAATTTGACTAAAGTATAAAGTTAAGTAACTGGTGCGTACAAGCTACCACCGCTACAAGAAGTGATCGTCTCCGTCTGTCTAATATTAAAATTACCACATTAACTATGGAGTAGTCTTCCTGGTGTGTCTCTGGAGAAGAAAAACTACAACTGCTACAGTAAGTGAAGCACCAACTACAACTGCTACAGTAAGTGAAGTACCAACTACAACTGCTACAGTAAGTGAAGTACCAACTACAACTGCTACAGTAAGTGAAGTACCAACTACAACTGCTACAGTAAGTGAAGTACCAACTACAACTGCTACAGTAAGTGAAGTACCAACTACAACTGCTACAGTAAGTGACCTTCCTTGTGTGTGTGTCACCTTGCATTAAAACTACAAGTACTACAGTAACGTCTACAGTATGTGATGCAGAAAATGATGATTACTACAATATATAATGTAGGAAGCACTGACTTCTACAATATGTGGAGCAGGAGGAACTGACTACAACCGTAAGTGATGTAGGAAACACTGACTACTACAGTAAGTGATGTAGGAAACACTGACTACTACAGTAAGTGATGTAGGAAGCACTGACTACTACAGTAAGTGATGTAGGAAACACTGACTACTACAGTAAGTGGTGTAGGAAACACTGACTACTACAGTAAGTGATGTAGAAGCACTGACTACTACACTGTAAGTGATGTAGGAAACACTGACTACTACAGTAAGTGATGTAGAACCCACTGACTACTACAGTAAGTGATGTAGGAAACACGACTACTACAGTAATGTGGGTGGTAGAAAACACTGACTACTACAGTAATGATGTAGGAATGCACTGTACTACAGTAAGTGATGTAGGAACACACATGACTACTACAGTAATGTGATGTAGGAAAGCACTGACTACTACTAGTTACGTGATGTAGGAAAAAACTGACCTACTACAGTAGTGGTGTAGGAAACACTGACTACTACAGTAATGATGTAGGAATGCACTCTGTACTACAGTAAGTGATGTAGGAACACTGATACTACAGTAAGTGATGTGGTAAGTCACTGACTACTACAGTAAGTGATGTAGGAAACATGACTACTACAGGTAAGTGATTTAGGAAAACTGACTACTACAGTAAGTGTTGTAAAGCACTGAACTACAAGTAAGTGATGTAGGGAACACTGACAACTACAGTAAGTGTGTAGGAAACACTAACTACTACAGTAAGTGATGTAGGAAGCACTGACCACTACAGTAAGTGATGTACAAACACGACTACTACAGTAAGTGTTGTAGGAAACACTAAACCACTTATACAGAAAGTTTGGATGTGTGTGCACTGACACCTACGTAAGTGACTAGAAGCACTGTCTACTACAGTAATGTGATTCAGGAAACAACTGACTACTACAGTAAGTGATGTAGGAAACACTGACTACTGCAGTATGTGATGTAGGAACACTGACTACTACAGTAAGTGATGCAGGAACGACTGACTACTACAGTAAGTGTGTAGGAAACACTGACTACTACAGTAAGTGATGTAGGAAGCACTGACTACTACAGTAAGTGATGTAGGAAACACTGACTACTACAGTATGTGATGTAGGAAAACACTGACTACTACAGTAAGTGATGTAGGAGCACTGGACTACTACAGTAAGTGATGTAGAACACTGACTACTACAGTAAGTGGTGTAGGAAACACTGACTACTACAGTAAGTGATGTAGGAAGCACTGCTACTACAGTAAGTGATGTAGGAACACTGATTACTACTACAGTAAGTGATGTAGGAAACACTGACTACTACAGTAAGTGTGTAGGAACACTGACATACTACAGTAAGTGATGTAGGTAAGACTGCTACTAATAAGTGATGAAGGAAACACTGACTACTACAGTAAGTGATGTAGGAAAACTGACTACTACAGTAAGTGATGTAGGAAGCACTGACTACTACAGTAAGTGATGTAGGAAGCACTGACTACTACAGTAAGTGATGTAGGAAGCACTGACTACTACAGTAAGTGATGTAGGAAACACTGACTACACAGTAAGTGATGTAGGAAACACTGACTACTACAGTAAGTGATGTAGGAAACACTGACTACGTGCAGTAAGTGTGATGTAGGAAGCACTGACTACTACAGTAAGTGATGTAGGAAACACTGACTACTACAGTAAGTGGTGTAGGAAACACTGACTACTACAGTAAGTGATGTAGGAAGCACTGACTACTACAGTAAGTGATGTAGGAAACACTGACTACTACAGTAAGTGATGTAGGAAACACTGACTACTACAGTAAGTGATGTAGGAAACACTGACTACTACAGTAAGTGATGTAGGAAGCATTGACTACTACAGTAAGTGATGTAGGAAACACTGACTACTACAGTAAGTGGTGTAGGAAACACTGACTACTACAGTAAGTGATGTAGGAAGCACTGACTACTACAGTAAGTGATGTAGGAAACACTGACTACTACAGTAAGTGATGTAGGAAACACTGACTACTACAGTAAGTGATGTAGGAAACACTGACTACTACAGTAAGTGATGTAGGAAGCACTGACTACTACAGTAAGTGATGTAGGAAACACTGACTACTAGAGTAAGTGATGTAGGAAACACTGACTACTACAGTAAGTGATGTAGGAAGCACTGACTACTACAGTAAGTGGTGTAGGAAACACTGACTTCTACAGTAAGTGATGTAGGAAGCACTGACTACTACAGTATGTGATGTAGGAAACACTGACTACTACAGTAAGTGGTGTAGGAAACACTGACTTCTACAGTAAGTGATGTAGGAAGCACTGACTACTACAGTAAGTGGTGTAGGAAGCACTGACTACTACAGTAAGTGGTGTAGGAAGCACTGACTACTACAGTAAGTGGTGTAGGAAGCACTGACTACTACAGTAAGTGGTGTAGGAAACACTGACTACTACAGTAAGTGGTGTAGGAAACACTGACTACTACAGTAAGTGATGTAGGAAGCACTGACTACTACAGTAAGTGATGTAGGAAGCACTGACTTCTACAGTAAGAACATAAGAACATAAGAAAGGAGGAACACTGCAGCAGGCCTGTTGGCCCATACTAGGCAGGTCCTTTACAATTCATCCCACTAACAAAACATTTGCCCAACCCAATTTTCAATGCCACCCAAGAAATAAGCTCTGATGTGCAAGTCCCATTCAAATCCAACCCCTCCCACTCATGTACTTATCCAACCTAAATTTGAAACTACCCAAATTCCCAGCCTCAATAACCTAACTAGGTAGACTGTTCCACTCATCAACTACCCTATTTCCAAACCAATACTTTCCTATGTCCTTTCTAAATCTAAACTTATCTACCCCCCCTCAAGGAAGGTTCCTTGATGTTGGTGAGGGGCTCTTGATTTAGGGAATTGGATCTGAGCTCCAGTTCCCCGAATTAAGCCTGAATGCCTTCCACATCCCCCCCCCAGGCGCTGTATAATCCTCCGGGTTTAGCGCTTCCCCCTTGATTATAATAATAATAATAATAAACTTATCTAATTTAAATCCATTACTGCGGGTTCTCTCTTGCAGAGACATCCTCAAGACCTTTTTAATATCCCCTTTATTAATACCTATCTTCCACTTATACACTTCGATCAGGTCTCCCCTCATTCTTCGTCTAACAAGTGAATGTAACTTAAGAGTCTTCAATCTTTCTTCATGAGGAAGATTTCTAATGCTATGTATTAATTTAGTCATCCTACGCTGAATGTTTTCTAACGAATTTATGTCCATTCTGTAATATGGAGACCAGAACTGAGCTGCATAATCTAGGTGAGGCTTACTAATGATGTATAAAGCTGCAGTATGATCTCGGACTTCTGTTGCTTACACTTCTTGATATAAATCCCAGTAATCTATTTGCCTTATTACGTACGCTTAGGCATTGCTGTCTTGGTTTAAGGTTGCTGCTCACCATAACCCCGAAGTCCTTTTCGCAATCTGTATGGCTAAGTTCTACATCATTTAACTTATAAGTACTAGGGTTATGGGCACTCCTAAGCTTCAGAACCTTGCATTTATCTTCATTGAACTGCATCTGCCACTTTTCTGACCAAGAATAGAGTTTGTTTAAATCCTCCTGAAGTTCCATAACATCTACGTTTGAATCAATTATCCTACCTATCTTTGTGTCATCGGCGACTTTGCTCATATCACTAGTAATTCCCTCATCAAGATCATTGATATATATTATAAACAACAACGGGCCCAAGACTGATCCCTGTGGAACGCCACTTGTTACAGATCCCCACTCGGATTTAACCCCATTTATGGACACTCTCTGCTTCCTGTCAGTGAGCCATGACTCGATCCACGAGAGCACTTTTCCCCCAATGCCATGAGCTGCCACTTTCTTTAACAGTCTATGGTGCGGAACTCTATCAAAAGCCTTACTAAAATCTAAGTAAATAATATCAAATTCTTTATCGTGGTCAACAGCCTCAAAAGCTTTACTTTAGAAAGTTAATAAATTAGTTAGACAAGACCGGCCTCTTGTGAATCCATGCTGAGTATCATTAATCAAGCTATGCTTATCGAGATGGCTTCTTATAATCTCAGCTATAATTGCCTACAATTGAGGTCAGGCTTATTGGGCGGTAATTTGATGGTAACGACTTGTCCCCTGTTTTAAAAATAGGAATTACATTAGCCATCTTCCACATATCAGACACTACACCTGTTTGAAGAGATAAATTAAAAATATTAGTTAATGGTTCACAGAGTTCCATTTTGCATTCCTTAAGAACCGTTGAAAAAACCTCATCAGGACTCGGCGACTTATTTTGCTTCAGTCTGTCTATCTACTTCACAACCATTTCACTAGTGACTGTGATGTTACATAATTTATCTTCTTCTAGCCCACTATAAAAATTAATTACCGGAATATTGTTAGTGTCTTCCTGTGTAAAAACTGAGAGAAAATAATTATTTAAAATCGAGCACATTTCATTCTCTTTGTCAGTAAGGTGCCCATAGTTATTTTTAAGGGGACCTATCTTATCTCTAACTTTTGTTCTATAGACCTGGAAAAAACTTTTTGGTTTAGTTTTAGAATCCCTAGCAACTTTAATTTCGAAGATTAATCTTCAACTTGTCGGTTTTTCAAACCAATCATCACAACTTTAATTTCATAGTCCCTTTTAGCTTTTCTTATCCCCTTTTTAATGTCCCTCTTAATGTCAATATACTGATTCATAAGATGACCCTCACCTCTTTTGATACGCCTATAAAGTCCTTTCTTATGCCCTAGTAGATATTTCAGCCTATTATTCATCCATTTTGGGTCATTTCTATTTGATCTAATTTCTTTATATGGGATAAACGTTCTTTGAGCAGCATTTATAGTGTTCAGAAAACTGTCATATTGATTGCTCACTTCGCTACCCCAGTCAACAGATGATAAGTGTTCTCTAAGCCCATCGTAATCTGCTAAGCGAAAATCTGGGACTGTTACCGAGTTATCGCTACTATCGTACTTCCATTCAATGCTAAATGTAATTGATTTGTGGTCGCTAGCACCCAGTTCCTCTGAAATTTCTAAATTATTAACAAGGGATTCATTGTTTGCCAGAACTAAGTCAAGCAGGTTATTACCCCTTGTAGGTTCTGTCACAAACTGCTTCAAAAAACAATCCTGAACTTCTTCTAAGAAGTCGTATGATTCTAAATTCCCAGTCAAGAAATTCCAATCAATATGACTAAAGTTAAAGTCTCCTAGAATTACTACATTATCGTGCCTTGTGGCCTTAACAATTTCCTCCCATAGTAGTCTCCCTTGGTCCCTATCTAAGTTTGGGGGATGGTATATCACTCCAAAATCAGTTTTTCATGCCCCTCTGAAAATTCTATCCAAACAGACTCTGTATGTGTTACTTCAGATTTAATACCCGTTTTTATGCAACAGTTCAAGCGATCTCGGACATACAATGCCACCCCACACCCCTTCCCGATACTTCTATCTACTTGGAACAATTTTAAACCCTGAATATGACATTCTGCAGGCATGTCCCGACTTTTTGAATTAAACCACGTCTCAGTTAAGGCAAATACATCAATGTTACCTGCACTAGCAACTAATCTCAACTCGTCCATCTTATTCCTAGCACTACGGCAATTAGCATAATAAACATTGAAAGACTCTCCTTTCTCTTTACCTTTCCTGCTCATTTCTGTTTTTCTACTAAACCTATTACTGTCCTTATCACCCAAAGTCCCTGGCTTTTCAATATCTACCTCGTTCTGCTTGTTACTAGTTCCCCCATAACTCGTAATATTACTACACTGGGATTTCACTGTTTTCCTGCCAAAACCCATACCACTAACTATTCCTAGTTTAAAGTCCTAACTGCTCCCTCCACTGTAGTTGCCAGTGCTACCACCCCAGGCCTAGATAAGTGAACCCCATCCCTGGCATACATGTCATTTCTGCCATAGAAGAGGTCCCAGTTGTCAATGAATGTTTCCGCATTTTCCTTACAGTATTTGTCCAGCCAGCAATTGACACCAATTGCCCTGGACAACCATTCATTTCCAACTCCCATCCTTGGCAAAATACCACATATGACAGGGTTCCCACCCTTACTCCTAATTATTTCTGTTGGTAACCTATACCTGCTAATCAGGTCTTCACTCCTACGTCTGCCAACATCGTTGCCTCCAGCACTGAGACAGATAATAGGATTGCTCCCATTACCTCTCATGATGTCATCCAGATGGCTAACAATATCCTCCATCCCAGCCCCAGGAAAGCAAACTCTCTGTCTCCTACTCCTGTCCTTCAAGCAGAATGCCCTATCCATATACCTAACTTGGCTATCCCCAACAACAGCAATATTCTTACCTTCCTTGGTGTCGTTCGTCGTGATGTTCCAAGTAGTCGACTCACATTCATCGGGTAGCACTGGGAATGTATTAGATGTTTCCACAACAGTTTCCACGGCAGTCTCTTTCTTCTTCATCGTTTCTAATTTCCATTCGTCTTCTTGATCGTCAACTTCGTTCCCTGCTGTCCAGCCACTGACCAGTTTCCCTTCTTGACCTGAGGACTCAAAACAGGAGGACTACTACGAATCTTCTTGTTTTCCTCGGTCAGTCGCCGAATCTCCATTTTCGCCATCCTCAATTCTTCCTTAAGCTGTTGGTAAAGTTGCTCGATGGAGGGCATCTTGCTTCAATTCATAGAGAGCGCGCAAACAGGTCTTCACAGAGCTAAGTACACGTCACCACTGCGCAAAAGGCAACTCAATCAGGAATTACTGTGCAGCACGTCCGCACGGCCCAATAGCAATGCAAAGGAAGTAGGAAGCACTGACTACTACAGTAAGTGGTGGAGGAAACACTGACTGCTACAGTAAGTGGTGTAGGAAACACTGACTACTACAGTAAGTGGTGTAGGAAGCACTGACTACTACAGTAAGTGGTGTAGGAAACACTGACTACTACAGTAAGTGGTGTAGGAAGCACTGACTACTACAGTAAGTGGTGTAGGAAGCACTGACTACTACAGTAAGTGGTGTAGGAAGCACTGACTACTACTAGTAAGTGGTGTAGGAAGCACTGACTACTACAGTAAGTGGTGTAGGAAGCACTGACTACTACAGTAAGTGGTGTAGGAAGCACTGACTACTAACAGTAAGTGGTGTAGGAAGCACTGACTACTACAGTAAGTGGTGTAGGAAGCACTGACTACTACAGTAAGTGGTTGTAGGAAGCACTGACTACTACAGTAAGTGTGTAGGAAGCACTGACTACACAGTAAGTGGTGTAGGAAGCACTGACTACTACAGTAAGTGGTGTAGGAAGCACTGACTACTACAGTAAGTGGTGAGAAAGCACTGACTACTACAGTAAGTGTGTAGGAAGCACTGACTACTACAGTAAGTGGTGTAGAAAGCACTGACTACTACAGTAAGTGGTGTAGAAGCACTGACTACTACAGTAGTGTGTAGGAAGCACTGAACTACTACAGTATTGGTGTAGGAAGCACTGACTACTACAGTAAGTGGTGTAGGAAGCACTGACTACTACAGTAAGTGGTGTAGGAAGCACTGACTACTACAGTAAGTGGTGTAGAAAGCACTGACTACTACAGTAAGTGGTGTAGGAAGCACTGACTACTACAGTAAGTGGTGTAGAAAGCACTGACTACTACAGTAAGTGGTGTAGGAAGCACTGACTACTACAGTAAGTGGTGTAGGAAGCACTGACTACTACAGTAAGTGGTGTAGGAAGCACTGACTACTACAGTAAGGTCCTCGTCAACTGCTCAGTGGTCAAACACTCACAGATCTGCTTCAAGAAATTGATTATCATTCACACATTGTATTTTATTTAAGAACTTTCAATTTGTCTTAAAAAGTTATATGAATGTCTTTACAAATGTTTTATATATTTTGGAAAAACTTCCAATATTTTTGGGGGGACAAAATTTGATGTATAATCTTTTTTCACTGGAATATAATTTTGACATTTATTTTTATATATTTATGTAATCAGAGAGAAGTTTGGTGCAGTCGTTAAATAGTCTTGTCAACAGCAACAAGAAAATACGTCAACTTACTAATGAGACTTTCGCTGGCCTGGGGCAGGAAGATCCGTCTCTGGTATCTTACGTCCGTCACCTTATCATCTCCCCGTCAGATAAACCCTACAACCTCACCAACCCAACCAAGATTCACTTTTCTCAGTACGACCAGAGCAGCTTCGCCGAGAGTGTTTTTCTCAACGGAATGGTAAGACAAAGTTAAACCAGATACTTGTGTAATATTGTTTTATGTTTATTGCGGAAATGTATGGTCAGTCAGTGGCTTCGTTAGTCTCATACATGGAATAACGGTGTAAAATGTATAGGAATTTGCGGTAATCAGTCCCTCAGTCTGGAAATGATGTGTTTAGTCCCTCAGTCTTGACTGGCTGAATACACCATCTCTGGGATGAAGGACTGATTACCTCCAGCTCACCCTCATCTTGCAATTCTTCTCTGTTTTGGACTGATGAAGCCACACGCTGGAAAAACGTTTCCACAGTAAAGATTCCCAAATATTACTTTCCTTAAGAGACCATTTTACGGTAAATCCTTCAACAGAGTGACGAACTCAGCTCCAGAATAAAGTTACTTAATAATGCCTCCAATAAAACGAAACCAGTGTTTTTAAAAATGAAACATAAAGTCCAAAAATACAACTTTATCTTGTCTAAAATTTAAGCTTATGGCACTTGCTGATATGCGGTGCATGAAGGAGTAACGTGGTACTGAGCAATACCTGGACAAACAGGTGATAGGTACCACCACCTAACACCATCCATCACCACCAACACCTTGAAGTTCATTGGCCTGGATAAAGCCGGTTGCTGACTCACCAAGAATGGTCAGGTTTAGTTCAACACTGCTTGGTGTGTTACAGAGAGATGGCTACTTCCTGGAGATTGGTGCCCTGGATGGTGAAGACAAAAGCAATACTCTGTACTTCGAGAAGTATCGTGGATGGTCTGGTCTGTTGATAGAGCCAGACCCCAAACTCTTCCACACACTTTCTGGCCTCAATAGAAAATCGTATTCTCTTAATGCTGGAGTCTCCCTCTCTAACATCTCTGCAATCGAAACCTTCAGGTAAGTTTCTATCACCATACCTTGTCTTAATTACATTGTCTTCTTGTTGGCAACACATAACATAGTTACAAAGCCCTGTTATCCTTGCCATTGTTTTGGTATGGTTTAACTTTTTTTCCAAGGGATCGTTTGCTGTATTTTGTTATTTATTAAATACCTGAGTCTCTTTAAGTCTTTTCACAGCCTTAAAATGGTCTATCAAACCCAGGCCAGCCCGAGGTGAGGGACGCATCTGGGAGAACACCAAGAAAGGCATCAGCATCCAGTGCTTCCCACTGTACACAATATTACTGGCCCTCAACATCTACCAGATCGACTTTTTCTCCTTGGATATTGAAGGCCACGAGATGAGGGTAACTTTTGATGTTCCTTCTGTGAGCTGGACTTTTGCTTTAATTCCAAGAACCGGAGAGATTTTTCTTTAGCTAAGTTTGAAATAGATGCAACATTATTATATAAGGATGTAAAACAAACCCTGTGTACCATTCTCGTTACCCCTACATAGACACCACTTGCAGTGTAGCAACAGTATTAGTGCAATAAATAGTTGGTGCTAAAACAGCAACATTAGCTTCATAGCTGAAGTTGTAGCCAGCTAAAATTCTGAGAGCTTTTAACCTGTCTTTGATCTTCTTATTCAGATAGGACCTGGTGGATTTACCAAGTGTCACATCTACACGATAGATTCCTGAACAAGTTAGCACTGCTGGTGCCTTTAACCAGAAGACAGATTATAGGTGGATAATATCACATTCTTGATTTTAGACGAAGATATGACAGGACCAGTTGATTACATGATATTTAAACCTTGTTAAGAATTATAGGTCTTTTCTTATATCATCTTGTATGAACTGCGATGTAATCATCGTAGATTATTGTAATATATCATCAATTTACATTAGTATAATAGACATTACTCACCATAGATTACTAGATACTGATGATGGGTCCTTGATCAAAGGACCAGTAATTATCTTCCCTTTTGTTGCACTCAATTAGCTGATTTGAGAAAATCACTCTAATAATAATGAAAAAGTCCAAATTCGTATTTCGGACTCGCATTAGTTGATTCCAGAGTACAGATAAATGTAAGTATAAAATAACTTTCCCTTGTTTCTTATAGAACAGGAAAATTCTTTCTCGCACATTTTCATTGCTTCCAGGTGATGCAGACTCTGCCTTGGGACAAAGTGAAGGTGAGGTTGTTGTGCGTCGAGGTCAACCACGTTCCAGGAGGTATAAAATCAGTGACGGAGTTCATGGAGGCTCGTGGATACACCTTCCTTGGCACCCGCAACATTGATGCCTGGTTTGGTCTTAGAGACCTCCTGAAAACAACCATGAATGTAGACCAGTACCTCCAGGAAAACCAAATTGCAAAACAACGGTCAAAAATTCTTGGGTTGTGAGATTTGAAGTGGAAGATCAACTGTCTTGTCTAGAATTTATCATGAAGGTGGGCGTAGGTTTAAATTGTTGACGATTCTATGTAAATGTGATCCATGAAGCTCAAAGTTCAAAATAATATGTATGTCCTCCAGTGAAGACACTGCAAGACTCCAAGTAGACATCAACCAAATCTTTAAATGGGCCACAGAAAACAATGAAGAGAAATTTTAAATTTACTCTGGTATGGGAAACTTGAGAAAATTAAAACTATATCGAAGTATAACACAAATACCAACCACACAATAGAGCGAGAAAGTAATGTGAAGGACCTGGGAGTGATAATGTCAGAGGATCTCCCTTTAAAAGATTACAACAATGTATCCACCACATCTGCTAGAAAAATGACAGAATAAATAATGAGAACCTTCAAAACTAGGGACGCCAAGCGCCAAGGATTCGAACCCATGTCGTTTTGGCCCTCCACAGGAGCACGCAGAGCGTCATGTGGTTTTCGCTCACCATAAGGCGGGCCAAAGCAACATGGGTTCGAATCCTTGGCTAATCGCAGTGTTATTGATTTAATACCACTTGTTCGTGGCTACAGTAATGTGTGTGTGTGTGTGTGTGTGTGTGTGTGTGTGTGGTGTGTGTGTGTGTGTGTGGTGTGTGTGTGTGTTGTGTGTGTGTGTGTGTGTGTGTGTTAGTTACCATTTTGTCCTAAGAACATAAGAACATAAGAACGAAGGAACACTGCAGAAGGCCTACTGGCCCATGCGAGGCAGGTCCAAGTCTCCTACCGGCTTAAGCCAATGCACCCAACCTAGTCAGGTCAGTCACATTGACTTAAGGGAGGAACACGGCAACCGACCTGGTAGCAAGCTATTAGGTCCAACTCACACCCACCCACATCCACTCATGTATTTATCCAACCTATTTTTAAAGCTACACAACGTTCTGGCCTCTATAACTGTACTCGGGAGTTTGTTCCACTCATCCACAACTCTATTACCAAACCAGTACTTTCCTATATCCTTCCTGAATCTGAATTTTTCCAACTTAAAACCATTGCTGCGAGTCCTGTCTAGGCTAGATATTTTCAGCACACCATTTACATCCCCTTTATTTATTCCTGTCTTCCATTTATACACCTCAATCATATCCCCCCTAATTCTACGTCTTTCTAGAGAGTGCAGATTCAGGGCCCTTAGTCTATCCTCATAGGGAAGGTTTCTGATACATGGGATCAACTTTGTCATCCTCCTTTGTACATTTTCCAGAGAATTTATAACCATCCTGTAATACGGTGACCAAAACTGTGCAGCATAATCTAAATGAGGCCTAACCAAGGATGTATAGAGTTGAAGAACAACCTGAGGACTCCTATTATTTATGCTTCTTGATATAAAGCCAAGGATTCTATTAGCTTTATTGCGAACACTTATGCACTGTTGTCTTGGTTTCAGATTACTGCTAACCAGAACTCCTAAATCTTTTTCGCAATCTGTAATATTAAGATCTACATTATTTAGTTTATATGTGGCATGGTTATTGTCCTGTCCAACATTTAGAACTTTGCATTTGTCTATATTAAACTGCATCTGCCACTTCTCCGACCACTGCATCAGTCTATTCAAATCTTCCTGGAGTGCTCGAATGTCCTCGTCAGAATGAATTCGACGGCCTATTTTGGTGTCATCGGCAAACTTGCCGATGTCGCTCTTTATGCCCTCATCTATGTCGTTTATGTAGATTGTGAACAGCAGGGGGCCCAACACTGACCCCTGTGGAACACCGCTCGTAACGCTTCCCCACTCTGATTTCTCCCCATTTATGCAAACTCTCTGCTGCCTATTTGTCAACCATGCCTCTATCCAGGAAAAAATTTCTCCTCCTATTCCATGTGCTTTAATTTTCCTCAATAGTCTCTGATGTGGGACCCTGTCAAAAGCCTTACTGAAGTCCATATACACAATATCATATTCATTACCATGATCTACCTCCTCAAATACCTTAGTGAAAAAAGTTAATAAATTCGTAAGGCAGGAACGCCCCTTTGTAAAACCATGCTGAGATTCGTTGATTAATTTATGCTTTTCAAGGTGGCTACGAACTGCCTCGGCAATTATTGATTCCATAAATTTTCCCACTATGGAGGTTAGGCTTATTGGTCTATAGTTCGAAGCTAAGGACCTGTCACCTGTTTTGAAAATAGGTATCACATTTGCCATTTTCCACTTATCTGGCACCATGCCCGTTTGTAGTGATATGTTGAAAAGATTAGCCAAAGGTGTGCTAAGCTCCTTTTACATTCCTTTAGAACCCTTGCATACAGTTCATCAGGCCTGGGGATTTGTTAGGTTTAATTTATCTATTTGCCTAAGGACCATGTCACTTGTGACCCTAATCGTGCAAATTTATTCTCGTCCTGTTCTACATAATTTATCATTACTGGAATATCGCTGGTATCCTCCTGTGTAAAAACTGAGAGGAAGTATGTGTTATAAAATTCTACACATTTCCTTATCACTGTCAGTGAGCTGACCCGGGGAACTTTTGAGTGGGCCTATCTTGTCCCTGATCTTACTTCTGTATACCTGAAAGAATCCTTTTGGGTTAGTCTTCGATTCTCTTGCAACTTTAACCTCATAATCTCTTTTTGCTTTTCTAATTCCCTTTTTTATTTTCTCTCTTTAACTGAATATATCGATTTCTTAATTGCCCCTCTCCTCTTTGATTTGCCTATATATGCCTCTCTTTTGACCAATCAGATATTTTTAATCTATTGTTCATCCATTTAGGATCATTTTTGTTTGATCTGATTTCCCTATTTGGAACATAATTTGACTGAGCAGCTGGAACTATGCCCTGGAAAGCATCATATCGGCAACCATCACCACCTACCTGAACCCTTAGTCAGGTCATTCCAGTTCAGCCCACCTAAGTAATTTTTCAGTCCTATGAAATCAGCCAAGCGAAAGTCAGGGACGGAGACTTGATTGCCATTATTAGGGGAATTCCATGATATATTAAAACTGAGTGATTTGTGATCACTTTCCCCCAAGCTCATCATTAACCTCAAGATTATTAATTAGTGTTTCCCTACTGGCAAGAACCAAGTCAAGGAGGTTATTTCCCCTAGTAGGCTCTGTCACAAACTGTTTTAAAAAAACAATCCTGGATCGTATCAAGAAAGTCACCTGACTCTAAATTTCCTGTCAAATTGCTCCAGTCAATCTGTCTATAGTTGAAATCTCCCATTAGCACAACATTTTCGTATGTAGATGCCTTACGAATTTCGTCCCATAGAAGTTTACTGCACTCCCTATCAAGATTTGGGGCCCTGTAAATCACACCCAAAATTAGTTTTTCTCGGCCCTCGAGAAGCTGTAACCAAACAGATTCAGTGGCTGATGCTTCTAATTTAATATCTTGTCTAACACAACAATTTAAATTGTCTCTGACATACATCGCTACTCCACCACCTTTCCTGTTGACCCTGTCAGTGTGGAATAATTTATAGCCTTGTATGTGACATTCAGAGGGCATCTCTCTATCTTTCAGATTGAGCCAGGTCTCTGTTATAGCAATAATATCTATGTTTCCTGCACTTGCAATTAATCTTAGCTCATCTATCTTATTTCTTACACTCCTGCTATTAGTATAGTAAACCTTAAGGGAGCTAGTCCCTTGCTGCCCTCTGCTGTCCCCCTTTGTTTGCTGACCTGATCTATTGTCTTTATTTATAACTTCATGCTGAATGCCTTTTATACATTTACTGTTTCCAACCCTGGTGTTGCAACCTGCTTGTTTCCCACACACACCCATACCTCTATCTTTCATCAGTTTAAAATCATAGGCATTTCCCAATGGCCTTCTCAATCGAGTCTGCAAGTGCTACCACCCCTGCCCCAGAGAGATGTACCCCATCCCTTGCATACATATCAGTTTGCCATAAAAGTTGTTCCAGGTTGTCAATGAATGGGATTGCAAGTTCCTTGCAGTATCTGTCTAGCCAGCAATTTACACCCAATTTTGCCCTAGACAACCATTTCATTTCCTACTCCCCTTCTAGGCAAGATGCTACATATGATTGGGATCCCTCCCTTAGACTTAATGAAATCTATAGCTGACCTGTACTTATCTAGCAGCTCTTCTCTCCTACCCTTCCCAATATCATTTCCACCAGCACTGAGACAGATATAATGGGCTTGTTCCCTTACCTGACATGATATTATCCAGCCTGTTGACAATGTCCCAACACCAGCTCCAGGGAAGCACACTCTATCTCTCATCTTCTTATTCCTATTACAAAAAGCACGGTCAATATATCTTACCTGAGAGTCACCAACCACAAGAATGCGCTTACCTCCATTAGCAGGGGCAGTAGTACCCTTACCTTCACTGGCCACTGAAGTACATTCATCCTGAAGAACAGAGAAGCGATTTCCTATCTTCAGATATTCACTCTTAACTTTCCTTACTCTGATGCGCCTCCCATTACTGTGAACCACTCGCCACTTGTAGCAGGTGCTGGGCCGCACCTCACTGCTGGTAGCCGTTGCTACCTCCCCAACTACAGCCTCCTCACAGCGAGAGACAGACTGCACCTCACTGCTAGAAGCCTCATTCCCCACAACTCCAGCCACCTCACACTCTCTCCCAGACCCATTGAGGTGGACCTTCAGCCTCCTAATCTCCTCCTGGAGAAGCAAGACCTCCTCCTTCAACTCTCCAACCTCAATTTTTAAAACACTGCAGAAGCGTGTGTGTGTGTGTGTGTGTGTGTGTGTGTGTGTGTGTGTGTGTGTGTGTGTGTGTGTTTGTGTGTGTGTGTGGTGTGTGTGGTGTGTGTGTGTGTGTGTGTGTGTGTGTGTGTGTGTGTGTGCCCTAAGGAACATTATGAAAAAAAATATTTGTATATTATGCAGGGACAGATAAATAAAGAAGTAACTTCTGCCACTGTGGGTATGGCCCGTGTGGGTGTTCAGCTTCAACTTACGTTCCGTGCGTATCTAACTATACATAGTTCCAGCGGTGAGTTGTACTCGTATTCTCTCGTCTATAAATACTCTGTATATACCTTTGATGTACATCTGATGACTTCCCAGAGTTTTTTTTTACTCTCGGAGCACGGCCATGGGCCAGTTTCTGGACGGTGGCCACGCCCACTCACGGCAACACCACAGCTTCAAGAAGAGGCATGGCAAGGTAAGTGTTGGTTAACGTAGTTCGCGAGGCCAGGTGGGGGGCAGGAGCTGTGGCTCATTTTCTTTCGACCTTCCGTTTTCCATTTTTTTCAGTCCTCGAACTTTTCTTCTCCCCCCCTCTCTGCCTCTCCTTGCCCCCTCCCTGCCTCTCCTTGCCCCCTCCCTGCCTCTCCTTGCCCCCTCCCTGCCTCTCCTTGCCCCCTCCCTGCCTCTCCTTGCCCCCTCCCTGCCTCTCCTTGCCCCCTCCCCTTAAACATCCCTGCGGCTTCTTTCCCA